TCATGCAGTTGGTGCCGCCAGCTCTGATTTTGATGCTCGGCTGTTTTGCCGATTTGACCTTCCGTTGATGCCAGCTGGAGGAGAGTTCGGCCCTGTTACTAGTGCCAGCACAACCCTCCAAGACTACAGCAGACTGCGCCTCAGACAAGTCTGCAGTCGGGGTTCAAACATTAAATTAGGTTTCCTCCTACTCAGCGGGACGTGATAATGCAGGGGTTGCACGACGTCAGCGGTCCGGGCCGTGACAGAAGTTTACACAGGCATGCGGGTATGAATCCCCGTTTCCTGGACCGAAACTTACGACGCGTTCACGGAGGCTGTTGCGCAAGCTGTTGCGCAGGCTCTCCGAAGCAGAGACTGCGTCGTGATCGTTGAGTGTTCCCAGCGCCGGCACCGTTGTTGCTGATGGCGTGAAAGTGATGCCTACGGACGTTAGCTTCCTTGTCCGTAGTCGCAGAAAGCTCGTGCGCAAGACGGGCTGAACTTGAATAGGTGCTCAAGTTCCTGAGTTGAAGCCTATCGTTTTGACGTACAAGCCTGTTATGCAGCTTCGGTCTGTCGTGGCAGTTTCGGATTCGGCATACAAGGGAGAAGAGAAACATGGCTTGGCAGTGCGCTGTAGGCTGATAGCGCTGACCAACAAGGATGGCGTCAAGGCAGGGATGATCTACAGCTCATCGAGACTCCTCGAGCTTGTGTCCAATTTTCGGACCCGTAACTGCACAAGTGCGTTTCCTTGATGCATGGGAGGCCACGTGAACTTAAACGGCCATTAGAAGTTCGCATAGCTACCCTCCTAGTCGCGCTCGAGACGGCAGTGCTCAGCCCCGCACGAGCTGGGGGCTGAAGCAAGCGCCACGTACAATCGTGCGGTCAGAAGTCAGAAGCGAGCGTGAAACAATGGAACGCCCCATGATGTTGGCAGCAGATTTAAGGGCAGGGGCTCATTTCGATTGTTTGTCACTTCGGTATTTCCGTGCTTCAAGTGCCCGCCAAATCGGTAGAACCGACACTGGAACCATCCCTCGGGAGATTCTGCTGTGGGGCACAGGGGGCTCCAGCCTACATGGTTTAGGGTTGCGGTGTTTGGTTTAATTAAATGAGAGCGGCTAAGATAGACCCTAGTAACTGGTAGCATCACAAGCGCGTAGACCCCGTTCCCCCAATCCACAACGGCAGGTCGATGAAGAAACCCTCACATAAATCCCACGCCATGTAGGCCTTAAGCCCTACACTGCCACCGGAAGATGATTTAGCCTACATCCAAAGATCAAGCTTTTCAAATCCTTAAAGAACATCCATCAGGAAATAATAGCCAAGAGCCTTCGAACTCCGGGTTTAGGGTTTAGGGTTAAGAGGGTTTGGAGGATTTGCGGCCGTGACGATTGAAGTTCAGGGTTGTCAACTCGAAGTCAGAAAATCAGGTGCATTCCGCCAGCTAGTTTAGCGCTTAGGCCGGGGTATGGGATTGAGTTTGCGGTTTGGGGTTAGGTTAGGTGTTTAGGGTTGCGGGTCAGGGTGCTGTGCACAACTGATAGCTGTTGCTCGAAGATGAAATATAGGAGGGCTATGGAGGGCTTGTATCTGACCTGGCAAATCCCTGACTTCCGGTGAGAAGTACGCCTAAACCTTAAATCCCACAAACACCTTCAAGCAACAAACCTTGGAAGTCGGTGCATCCCGGAAATCTTCCGGCAGGCACAGCAACCGCATCCACGCCGGTCACGATGCCCCGGTTCCATCCTTGGCAAATCTGGAGATCTTGACTTGGGGTCGCAAGGGTATCGTATTTCATACTTCCGTGTAGGAGACGATGTTACTACTCGAGGTCAATATTGGCGCTGTTTTTTTTCTGAAGCTTCTGCTTGCAGGGTCGGGGGACTTAGTAAGTAGTTATTTCATGGCGTCATCCGTGCCGTGAGCAGGACCGTAGCTGCTGTCATGGTGCTGTGCTTATAACCGTATACAATAACTACTTATGAGGCCTCCGAGTAGTGAAAGAGTTTCAGCTGGTTTTCCACCCCGAGCCCAGATGTGCTTCGGACAATCCCCCCTTAAACCCTACTAAACCTTGCGCACGCAGAGTCAACTTGAATAATCTCAGCTCCGATGCCGTAATCGCTAAACGTTAGACATTTGCAATATCCATAAATTGTTAAACAATGCAGTCGTCCAAGGAGTACTCGCCAAGTGCAGAGGTCGGCGAACCTACGACTATTATTTCCTTTTCTCCATATGGAGGTTTCGGAGTTGTGCACCCCAAAACCCTATCCCAATTAGTAAAGTCCCCATGCTATGTAGGACAGTCCGACGGTGAGGCTGGGACGGCCTTTGGTCAAGTTTCAAGCCAGTCTGCAACACGCGTATCGCGTATTCCACAAAACTGCTGCTCTTTCGCCGCCTGACCGGGTTTCACGACTCGCCCATTGCCACAGCATGCAAAGCTGGGCAGCTTCGCAAATGAAACTGAACGGACAAGCAACCTCGAGAAGAAACAATCGCAACCCGATGTGTTTCGCAAGAGGGCCCTCAGCAGATGCCACGCCTATTGTGGACTCGCAGGCCTGCGTCGGTTGGGTGACGCCAGACGCCCACAGCCGTCGAAGCTTTCAACTGCAAAAAAGCTAATCGTCCGTCCGTAGGAATGTAGAAGATTGCTCCCTTCCCTTACCAAGGGTTTCATATTTATATGCTGGGGATCGGAATATTCAGGCGCTTGAAGACGTAGGGTGTTTCCGTAGGCTTCGTAAAGCCGGGTTTTATCTACAGGTTTGGGACTTGGGGCAGAGAGAAACGGAGCGTGGGTCATCTTCTTTCCCTAAAATCGTCCAAAACTTCTTGATTCTAGCCCTGGGTTTGTCCAAGTCGAATATAAGTTGAGGTTTTGGGCAACCAGAGGATTTGTTTCGACATTCTCCGGGGCCTCGAGGGAAGAAGGCACACCCGGCAATTGTGACCAAAGCCGAAAGATCACCGAAAGCCTAAAGCTGTAAACCCTAAATCCTAACAACCCTAAAGCTCAATCCTTAAACCCCGAAGCCCGAACCCTAAATCCTTCGTCAAGAATGAGCTGGACGTTCTTGCTGCTGCAGTACGAAAGGCCCACTGCACTTTAACTTTTTTACAAAACATCCTAAACCACAAGCCCTGGAAAATGTGGACTCCTAAACCCTTCAAAGGGTGTAGGGTTTAGAGTCTAGGAGTCTACTAACCACAAACGCAAAAACCAGCACGCTAGACCCGAGGGGCTTGGTAGTAGAAGCCTAAATGACTCGGAATATTCTTCCCTTGCTGTCCCTCTACCATACATGATTTACCCTGGACCCTAAACCCTAAACCCTCACAGACTTCCTCTGTAGGGCCAGAAGCCCTAGACATCCCTAGACCCGAAATCCGCGGATCCTGTTGGCTGAGAGGTTAAGGTCTAAGTAGGGTTGAGGGTTTATAGACAAAGATATAGATCTGGACATAAACATAGGTAGAGATAGAGATGGAGATCGAGATAGAGATAGGGATGGGGATGATGGGGGGTATGGATAGGGATAGGTATAGGGATAGGGATAGAGCTGAACATCGAGATACAGAGTTGAGGCCTTTTTCCCGCTGCTTCGACCTGCTCTACAGCCAGGGGCATGGCACGTTCCTGCTTGTTCAGCTTTGTTCTTGAGCTCTTCGGGTTCAGGGTTTGGGGTTTAGGGTTCAGGGTTCAGGGTTTGACTAGGTGGCAACTTGGGAAACGTTTTAATTTCCCTTATGGTTCCTTTCGAGGTACCTATTCATAAATACTTTTCAGAGCCCCAGAACTACAACCTAGTTAAGGTTTGGGGTTTAGGGCTTAGAGTTGAGGATTTCTGGTTCTGCTTGGGTTTGGAGTTTTTGGGCCTCAGCTTGGGACTTACCTCATGGTTTCGTGGTCAAGCGGCTTACCTAAACCCTGAAGCCTAAACCCTTCAAAAAAATAAATTTCTGTGACCGTTGAAGGTTCCGTGGTTTGTTCTCAGACGATTGAGTTTCGATGTTGGCCGGAAGACCCATTTTAATGCAATACCTGGTGATATTTAACGTAGATCCCTTCAAGGGGTTCCTGTAAAGTATCCCGTAGTATAAGTAAGGTCCCAAATCCGTGCTTCTAGCCCTAGTGCCTTCATAGCACACAACTTTCTCCAGGTTGCGCATGGACCAGCAACCCTCCTTGAGTGGAAGATAGGTGCTCGGTTTCCAAACTCTCGTCTTCCTCGCCTTTTTGCTTCTACTGTAAGGTCTGTGGGCATTGGAGAGGGTGTCGGCTTTCACTTTATCCCTAAATTTTCATCAGCGAATATTACCAAAGGCCTCCCAACAGACCTTTATTCAGCAGTATACCCGTGAAGCCTACCCAGAGACTCAAATACCCCTTGATTAAGGAATATACCTTAAATTCGAATATGATTTAAGGAATATTCCTTAGTTAAGGGATATTGGAGTCTCTGGGTAAAGACCAGACTCCCAAGCATCCCTACAATGAATCACCCGGGGCCTGCAAGCCAGTAATCTTCCATAGAAGCCTACAACAACCGTTCTATGTTGAGGTATACCCTAAACCCTAAACCCCTGAACCCTAAACCCTAAACCGTAGAAGCCTGCAAACACATTCTCAGTTGAGGTATACCCGAAACCTTAAACTCCAAGCCGTAGAAGCCTACAAGCACATGGTATGTTCCTTGACCGAGGAGTTTTAGAGGCTGACGGCTTTTCAAGCCCCCCCCAACCCTTAACCCGACAGCAGTTGACACAGTAAGGTAGGTGCAGGAAATCAATAGCCCGATAATAAACCCTGGTAACCTTTGAGTTTGAACTCGAAAAAAGAACGCTTAAAGCCCGTTGAAGCTTCGAATCCAGAAACCCTAAACTCCAAACCCCCTAAACCCCAAACCCTAAACCCCAAACTCCTTAAACCCTAAACTCCAAACTCCCTAAACCCTAAACCCCAAACTCCTCGTCTGGATGGACGTCCCAAAGCCATGGCTGCTGACCCGACGCCGTCACCCTGCTGGCAGGGGGAGGCCTCCCACAGGAGGGCTCGGACAAGGTTTATGAGCAGGTTTTTTTTTAAAGGGTCAGAAGCTTAGGTAGGGGTGTAGGGGTTAAGGGTTTAGGGGTTTAGGGTTCAGGGGCAGGATTTTATCAGCGGAATTGGAGGGGGGTTGTTTATGTAGGAAATTTATGATAGGTTTGCATGATGGCATTTTTTGGTGTAAACCCTGAACCCCGTAAACACCAAAGGATGTTTTGGAATCTTCGCGCCTGGAGACCGCCCCAAACCCAGAGACTCCAAACCCGCTTAGTTAAGGAATCTGCCTTAACTTAGGGTTTCGTGTTTAGGGTTTGGGATCGTACTAGGTGTCCTATGATAATTTAAGGTATACTCCTTATCTAAGGAGTTTCGGAGGGCGTTAGTTACCTTAGTTCTTAGGGTTTAGGGTTTTGCTGCTTAGGGTTTGGGATCTCATAACTAAGGGTTCCTTGTATAATTCAAGGTATATTCCTTAGCTAAGGGGTTTTGGAGTCTCTGGGAAACCCTAAACCCTTAAACCCTAAACCCTAAACCCCAAACCCTAAACCCCAAGCCCTAAACCCTAAACCCCAAGCCCTAAACCCCAAACCCTAAACCCCAAACCCTTAACCCCAAATCCTAAACCCCAAACCCCAAACCCTAAACCCCAAACCCCGAAACCCCAAACCCTAAACTGGTCGCCAGTTCTCGAGTGCGTTCCACTGCTGCCTCGGAGAGACCTGGGGCGTCGACTCGGAAGTGATCCAGAAGCCGGATCCTTGGATAGGTTTGCAGGGTTTAGGGTTTAGGGTTCGGTTGGGGTTTAGTCTGTAGTTTTTCGGTGTGGCAAAATCCCTCTCTCTCTCTCTCTCTCTCTCTCTCTCTCTCTCTCTCTCTCTCATTTCTAGGTTTCTTCGTTGCTTTTTATTGGAATTTGTTGGGTTGTATTGCGTTGTATAGGGTGGTGCAGTGTTGCTGGAAGTTGGACTACGTACTGACAAGGTTCTAGTCGACAGCCTGGGACTTTAATGTTTGAGGTTTGAGTATGTTGGCTTTGTGGGGCAGAGCTTGGCAAGTTTAAGTGCCTTGTCTCTGGGAGTTTGGATTTTGAGGTGTAGGGCTTTCCACTCCTCGTAGGGTTTTAGGAGTTCACAAAGGGTGCTGGACTAGAGGACATGAATGAGGTTCGTGCTGTGTATACCACACAGAAGATCGATAGAGCAATTCTTTTTTCGTCTGGGTCGTCGTGATTTCTCGTCATCCCAGAGGGTCCATGCCATACACTACCATTATGGAATTAAGGTGCCCAAACCATAACGCGTAAAGGGACCCTAACTAAACCCTAAACCCCTAATACTAGTAGTGTATATGGACCCTCTGTTATGTTCAGACACAGCAGGTCCATCTGTAAACCCCGTAATTCAGACATATACCTTTAACAGCTATTGAGCATCCCTACATTAGGCTTTGGAGTAGCATACTTTAATACTTGTTTCTTCAAGAACCCACTATGAAATAACAGTTATACTTTTTCCTCCCTTGTTACTTAAACGCCCAGTACATGATTTAAGGCAACTTGCGTATTTGGGAATGGAGTTGAAAGTGCAAGAGCTAAGTGCACCCTGATCAGAAGCCTAAACCCTCAACCCTAAACCGTGAAGACCACAACGCATAAATCTTCGGGTCGAAATTCAATAACCCCAAACTCCGCGCCCACATCCCATCACTTAACCCTGCAGTCCCAAAAACCTAACCTCTTTAAGCCATAAACAACACAACCCTACGCCCTAAACACGAAAGCCGGAAACCCATAACTTCTAAACCCTAAACCTCAAAACCCTAAACTCTAAACCTCTAAACCAGCCTGAGGTGCTGGACGGACGGCCGGACTTTCGAGACGTGCTGTCTCCAGGAGCAGCGAACGGAAGAGAAACTCCCAAAGCCTTAAACTAAGGGACATATCTTAAATTCTGGAAGGGGTCCTTATGATGATTTAAAGTATATCCCCTCCACAGGATCTACCTGAGATTAGAGAGGGGTCCTTGTTATGATTGAAACTACCCTGTATATTGGCTTTGTAGTCTTTGGGGACCCTTGACTAGTGAACCAATGCTAAGGCTGAGGCCCGTGAATTAGACGTCTGATAGTCCCCAGAAGGGGAGTTGTCAAAATTGTGGTCCCTTTTTGGGCCCCCTAAATAATAGGTGCAGTTTTTTTTTTGTTTTTTTGTTTTTTTATGTTTATGCTGTAATCCTCAATCATTTGAGGTATATCCCTGAATTGTGGGTATCGGAGTTTCTGGGGAGGTCTAGACACAAGCAACGATAGTTGAAGCTTCAACCCCAGCCTTCCTAACCTGAAGCAAAGCTAAACCCCGAGGCCGTAGATCCTAGACCCTAAACTCTAAACCCAAACTCTCCTAAGCCCTAAAGTAGGCCGGGGCAGTGGGAAGTTCACAGCTTTGGAGTCAAGGTTTCAAGAGGTGCCCCTTGCCCGAGCGTAGGCTTCTCTAGGACCCAGAGTAAGCCACTATTCCCCTTTTCAGGGTTCAGGTTCCCTTATAGCCCTTTATACCAAAAAGGGCACCCCTTTTTGGTCCTAGGCTACCAAAAAGGGCACCCTGTTTGTTCCGAGGTTACCAAAAAGGGCACCCTTTTTGGTCTTTAATTACTCTGAGGTCTAGGTCTTGAGTCTGAGTTGGTCACAAGTCGGGACTTTCACTGTGAGCCCTCAAGTCGAAAGTCCTATTTGGAGGATCATGGGACTCACTCCGTAGTTGGGGCTATAAGTCATCCTATACGTACAGTTACCATAATTATAACCCGAGTTATTAAGTCCCATGACCCTTTAAGTAACCCTACTGTAACCCCCTTCTAGAACCCTTACAGATCCCTTTAGAGGAACCCTTCTAGTACCCTAATGGAACCCTTAAGTACCCTAAAGACCCGAACCTGAGACCGAGACAGGGCCAACTCCTCACGCAGTCGGAGATACGAGCCTGGCGAACTTGGAATGTGCCCTGGCCTATAAGGGTTCAATAAGGGTTCCTTTAAAGGGATATAAGGGTTCTACAATTTTTTCCTTTAAAGGGATCTATAAGGGTTCTAGAAGGGGGTTAGGGCTACTTAAAGGGTCATGGGGCGTAGTAACTATGGTTAGAATTAAGGTAGCTATACTTACAATTACTTACTTACTGCAATGGAGGTACTTATAGCCTTACTTACTAAGTCCCATGAAGCTCCAAGTAGACCGTAAACCCTAAACCTTTCTAGATCCCTTATAGAACCCTGTGAGGAACTCCCTAAAGATCCCTTTAAGTTACTAAGTCCCATGAAGCTCCCAGCATTGTCAGATGATAGGATCCTTGGGGAGAGGATCCCATGGGAACCTTGAGGGAACTTGAGTGGGCGCTAATGAGTACAAGAGACCGTTAAGGGATCTATAAGGGTTCCTTTACGGGATCTATAAAGGGTTTAGGGCTTAGGGTTTAGGGTAGGATCCTGCTTAAGAAAACCCTGGGTCGCTATTCGGGTTCCTTATATGAACCCTACTTTTGGAGGTTATAGGGCCAGGTTTTTAAAAATCAGGTTCCTACATTAGCTGAGTTAGCAAAGCTTACGTAAGCTATTTGGGAGAGTGCTATTAGGGATATGGTTCTTGCCCTTAGCACTGAATGGTTCAAGAATTCCTGGCATGCGAACTCGGCAACTACGACTAATATGTGGCCCCGAATAATCGTCACAATTATATTCTAGGATTCCTCGTTAGAGCTATACTATAATCTTACCCTTTAGGTCCCTGCGTGAGGTAGGGTAATCAAGGTTGCCGATGTTTGAGAAGAACCATGGGTCCCTTTCCCCCTTGCCCAGACCCCCGGGAGGATCCAAAAAGTAGATCCCTTAACAGGGGTTCCTATAAAGTACCCTTAGTAGTATAGGGCCCCAAATTAGGGGATCTACTTTCTAGATCCTCCTGGGGTCTGGGTGAGGGTTCCTATAACGTTTCCGTTTTGGTAGTATAATAGGCTCCCACTTTGTGCGGGTTTAAAGGCCCCAAATCCTAAACCCTTATGAACCCTAGTAAACTGTTTGCAACCAAAACATGTTTTAGGGGTCTCAACTTAGACGTTCTACTTTCTAGCTCCCAGGGGTTTTCAATGCTTTAGGGTCTCAATGTGATGAGACCCCCCTAGCATGAGCCCCCGAAATGGTGTCCAACCGAAAGACAACGCAAGCATGAGGAACCTGGGCTTGCGCTGCAAAGTGTACTGTAGGGGCTTTAATTATTACCTGTACTATTTTGGGGGTCCCTTGCTAGACTTACAGTACAGCGGCCCCAAAACCCTTTTCTTCTAATTACTACGGCCCCTATATTAAGGGTCAGGGCATCCCAGAAGCCTGGTCTTTGATGTTCCTGTATTTTGTTGTAGGCTTTACCTAAGTTCAAAACCCGAAGCTCCAGTACCTTGCCGTAAACCCTTGTTCCCAACCAGGTGGATTGTGGCTGCAGACGTGCAGAGATGGGTAGTTACTTGACTGGCATGCATTGTCAAACCCTGAACCCTAAGTTGGAGCTCTTCATCGGCCCTAAACCATATACTGCAAACCTCACATCCTCACTAAAACCTCAACCCTGCAGCCAAATCCTTTCCTTCCAGCATTGTCGGGAGAATTCAGCCGAAAGGCCATCGAGCCCACAGATGCCTAAACCCGTTTAAACCCTATAAAAGCTTCTATCTGGGAGTGTGGCCCTAAACTCCCCAACCCTAAACCCCTAAAAACCTAAACCCCTAAACCTAAACCCCTAAAAACCTAAACCCCTAAACCTAAACCCCTAAACCTAAACCCCTAAACCTATACCCCTAAACTTAAACCCCTAAAAACCTAAACCCCTAAACCTAAACCCCTAAACCGAAACCCCTAAACCTAAACCCCTAAACCTAAACCCCTAAAAACCTAAACCCCTAAAAACCTAAACCCCTAAACCTAAACCCCTAAACCGAAACCCTCAAAGCCCAAACCCGAAAGCCCGAACAACGAATTGAAACACGAAGTCCCATGCCCTGCTCCACCTGGTACTAGAAGAAGCTTTTGGGGTTCAGGGTTTAGGGTTTAGGCTTCAGGGTTTAGGGTTTAGGGCATATGGGGTAGCTTAGTGGATACGCTTTATGTGCACTTTTTGCGATATTACTACCCACTATAAAACTGAAAGTGTATACTTTTTGGGGCTTATGAACTCAGCAACTAAGTTTAGGGGACCAGCACCAGCCCAAGACATACAGTGAATTTCAGAAAGTTGGAGCATGGAATCAGGATGATTAATGCTGGGATACCCTATACCTTACACTAAGCGTATGAGGACAATTATGTTCCAAGTTTCTGGCTTCTACGATATTGTGTAAAATCACTGCGGTCAAGCACCGGTCATTGAGCTGCATTGCACTAATGTGTTTGTTCTGAGAAGACAGCGACCGTAGAAGGACAACCCTTGAACCCTCAACCCTCAACCCGTCTTCAAGCATGTTGAGTGCTTTACAAACGTTATTGCCTGGGGCCTTTGATGGTTACCTAAAGTTTTCAGAAGCATCGACCCAAACCGAAGAAGGTGCCGAACGCAGGCAGAAATGGGTGAACCTTGCACAGCAAGGGAAGTCCCGCTACGAGTCATCGACACTGGGACAGCACTTTCCCTGTGCGGCGACCGTTCGGGACCCCCGCCCTCCAGCCGCTCCGGCCGTTGGAGCAATCGTCGGAAAGAACCCGATGCCATTCCCGGAGAGCCCAATACCTTTAATTTAAGGAATATGGCTTAAATTGCTAAGGGCTTCATCTTATGGTTTAAGCTACATTCCTTCAGCATTAAGGGGTATCGGGCTCTCTGGGTTGCTGTCTTGCAGTACTTGCAATGCATCAGCCGCGTATTCAATGCATTTTCCAAAGCCCCAACCGATTACCAGCACCTGTTGGCCTTTGCCAGCATTGCCCTTAAATCCTAGACCCTGAGCCCCAACACCTAAACCCTAAACTCTGAACAAAACCCTTAAGCCTAAACCCCTAAACCCGTAAGCCCTAAACCCCAAACTCTGAACCTGTTTTGGTTTCTCTTTAAGTCTTGTGGCTCCATGACCTCCCCCAATCTCAGGCCCGATTTGGGCAGGACAAGGTGGGGTTACTGTTACTGTAGGGGCCTAAATAATTACAAATATTATATATATATATATTTTTTTTGGGGGGGGGAAGGTTCCTTTGCAAAATTGTATTATACCATACGCCAACACCCTTTTCCAATTCTTAACTAAGGCCGCTATATCACCCTCCGCGGCGCTACTTGTACCTAGCTAACTTCGTCCCATTGCTCCGTAGACCACCCAAGCTCCTAAATGAAGGACTTCAAGCTTGTACAAGTATATGCTTTATGCGCACATGGAACCCTAAACCGATCGTAAACCCTAAATCCCTAAAGTCTTAAAGGAGCCCTTTTGGATAAATTATAATCCTCAACTGCAGACCCAGATTCCCAAGTGTGAGGCAACGACATCTTCTGCGTGCTGAAGGACCAGCTGCTACCAAAGTCGACACACAGCCAGTGCATGTCGCACCTCGGTTTTTTGCTTGAGGATGTAGTTGATTGCTCCTGTTCGGAACGGAGCCCTCAGCTTGAATCAATCATCTTTGTTGGATCAGTTTCTTGGTTAAAGGAAGTAAGAGGTCAGCCATATGCATGCACTAGTGTCTTGTGGTAAGAGTTGCTTGAAGGGTCGGGGACTTTGTAAGTAGGTAATAAGTCGACTTATAAGCACCTTAAAAGGGTCCCTAATTAGGGGTTATGATGCTTACAAATCTATAAACTAACTATTACTTCCCCCGACGTACCAAGTACTGCACCTCGGAGCGGGAGAATTGAAAGAGGAGATCTGTGTCGGTTTGAGGCTTTTCGTGGTTCAGGGATGCCTGCCTTCGTTGCCTCAGCGAAAAACCTAAACCCTGCATAAACCTCAAAGCCTGGTCCCTGTGTCGCAGGTGTACAAGTACAAGTGAGAGGGCTTTTTCTTAGTGTAGGCCCTTGTGGCGGGCTCGACTTGATCGCAGAGCAGAAAGAGCCAATACACTTAAAAAAACAAACCCTAAACCATAAGGCCGAAGCCTTAAACCTAAACCTCAAAGCCTGTTCCCCAAAACCCAAAAACCCTGGTCCCTAAACCCCAAGCCCGAAACCCGAAACCCAAATCTCTTAGGCCCCCCCCCCCCCCCCCAATCAGGCGGCCCGCCGCCGGCTGCCTCAAGCCGTCAGCCCTGCAGACCCTAATTGATTCAACATGAGGTATGGATTGAATGTTCTGACCAACATTCTACATAGTTTACCTATCCGATTGTGAACTAATATGCAACTTCGTCAACTCGTCAACTCAGGTTTAGACCCATATTTGTCAGCCCCATCTAGAGGAAGAAACTTCGAAACTCCAAGCCCCGATTGCCAATCCTCAACCCCAACCTGTCCTGCAACGCCAGGGCCCAAGCATCGAGCATTCATTTGGGGGTTTAGGGTTTAGGGTTGAGCGGGCCAAAGCAGCGAGCATTCATTCGTGGGTTGTTTGAGACGGTTGATCTCTGCGGAATACTTCTCCTTGCATGGAACCCTACACCCAAAAAGCCATAAGGCCCTAGAGCCCTAAACCGTAAAGCCCTAAAGCCGTAAAGCCCTGAAGCCCTATAACCCTAAAGCCCTAAAGCCTTAAACCCTAAACCCTAAGCCTAAACCCTACAGCCCGAAAGCCCTACACCCCTACAGCCCTGAAGCTCTACAGCCCAAAGCCCCTGAAGTCCTAAGGCCCTCAAGTCCTACCCCTAAAGCCCCCAACCCTTCCAGGGGATCCCGAACTCAAAGTGAGATTTCCCAGGTATTCCTTCACGTGGCCCGCTCGCAAGAAGCATTCCGGGCAGAAGGAATCATTATCAGATGTCATACTCTCCACCCAAAACTCCAAGCGCAGACCTGGAACCTCGAAAGCTTAGTCGGTTTACGGTTTACGCTACAGGGTTTAGGGTTTCGAGTTTAGGGTTTAGGTTTGGCTTTGAAGCAGGACGTGCTCGAGAAGGGTTGGTGGGTTCTCACCATGGGGTCCAGGGCTTCTCATGTGTTATGATAGTTTTTCACTCTTATGACTAGAATCGGGCTCCCTTTAAAGGGTTCCTTTACAAGGGTTCTCTTTCAGGGATCCATAGAAGGGTTCTATAATGTAGGGGCCTTAAAAATGACAAGTTACCAAGTGCCCCGCCCCTCCAAGCAGGTACGTCGTCGGCACGCTCGCGGAGTGGGCTGGCGACTCGATTGCAGGCTGACCCAGAGGCTAAGGTTCATACATGTATATCTCTCTTCTCTTCCTCAAACTCTATCTCTCACACTCTCTCTCTCTCTCTCTCTGTCTGTCACTCTCTCTCTCTCTCTTCTCTCTCTCTCTCTCTCTCCCTCTCCCTCTCCCTCTCCCTCTCCCTCTCCCTCTCCCTCTCCCTCTCCCTCTCCCTCTCCCTCTCCCTCTCCCTCTCGCTCTCGCTCTCGCTCTCGCTCTCGCTCTCGCTCTCGCTCTCGCTCTCGCTCTCGCTCTCGCTCTCGCTCTCTCTCTCTCTCTCTCTCTCTCTCTCTCTCTCTCTCTCTCTCTCTCTCTCTCTCTCTCTCTCTCTCTCTCTCTCTCTCTCTCTCTCTCCTCTCTCTCTCTCTCTCTCTCTCTCTCTCTCTCTCTCTCTCTCTCTCTCTCTCTCTCTCTCTCTCTCTCTCTCTCTCTCTCTCTCTCTCTCTCTCTCTCTGTGAACAGCTACATACTACATATTCGTATTTATGTGTATATGTACATGTTTATGCATGTGGTACGCTGTGCTTATCATGGCAGTTCAAAGCAAGTTCTTAGGAGACCCCAGTAGCGCCTGAGAAGAAGGCAACGTACAATCAAGAGTCTACTGCAACGTAAGGAATCTTCCTTGCTTGGGGTTCATGGCTGGGCTTAGGCTCTGGGTTTAGGGCTAAAGTAGAGGTGCGGTCGACCGTTTTTGGTTTTCGGGCTTGCGGTTTAGATTTTGGGCCTGTTTTGGCCTTGGTGGCAGGATTGCAGGCCCTAGTCTGGGTTCAGAGTTGTGAGGTTGCCAGCTCGTCGATAGGGGTCAGGAGTGGAGATTATGGCACTTGGCTTGGGCTTAGGCTTCAGATTTAGGGTCTTCCAGAAAGGTCATGAGTATTTACAAACCCTAAACCCCTAAACCCCTAAACCCTGAACCATTACCCCGAAGAAGTTGCTTGTAGCCCTACTTGTCACCACTGAGGAGCCTGCAAGACCTTAAGAAGCTTCTGAAGCAGCGCAAATCCTTCATAAGCTCGTTTAGTGTTTCGGGTGACTGTGAGCCCCTACATGAGTTTGACCTTGGAACAAACCTTCAAAACTTGTCGAAACTGGTAAATGTCTATCACAGCCCCATAACACCCTGCTAGGACTCCTCGTTAACACAATCCCTCCGTCGGCTCGTAAAGACCAACCCTGCTCGGAGGCTCGGGGGACTTAGCAAGTGATCATTTTAGAGACTCATAAAGATCATAAACCTAATTAGGGCCCTTCTAGGGTACTCGTAAGTCTCCTTATTGCCTACTTACCAAGTCCCCTCACGTTCCGAAGGCGTAGAACACTCCAGAATTCCGTGCAAGTACCTCATCTCCGCCCATTGCGGAGTCTCAGTGGCTTGCCTCATTTTCCTTTGCCCTAAACTTGAACATAAAACCTTAAACCCTGAACCCTAAACCCTAAACCCTTAAACCTTGAATTGTGCACTAAGGCGCTTGGGGACGGACTGCATGGCGCACTTTGCATGTCGAAGACATCGTTCGGTGTGTTCCAGGCCCCGAGAGCAAGTCGTGGCATCTGAGGCTTAGGGTTTAGGGTTTAGGGTTTAGGGCTTAGGGTTTTAGGGCTTAGGGTTTAGGGTTTAGGGTTTAGTCTAAGGCTGGGGGGTGTGTTGCTTGGGGTTTGGAGTGTAGGGTTGTCGCATTGTTACTGTTTAGAGCTTGGTGTTCGGATTTAGGTTCCCAGTTGTTTCAGGCTCAAGAGTTTGTATTATGCTTTAAACGGCTGATATCATTTAGGGGGCAAAGTTCAATGACCAGGGTTCTTGTGCAAGCAGTACAGCATCCAAAGTCGAGCTCGTGAAACATAGGGTGCAGGTCTCGATGCACCCTAAACCTAAACCCGCAGGCGCCCAACCCTAAACCCTGTCATTTATTTCTTCGTTCATAGTATAGGAACCACCCCACAGCCCGAGTCAATGATTCAGGCTTCTGGTCTGCACCGAATCCCTGAGTCCCTAAACTAAACCTAAACCCATACACCCTGAATCCTGATCCTTTAACCCTGCACCCTAAACCCGAAACTCAAACCCACACGAAGTCTAGACCCCATATAAACCCTGTGCCCCAAACCGCAGACCCCAAGCGTAACCCCCCACACACCCTGAACCAGTAAACTGGCATGGTCCTTGCAGGTTCATGGGACTTAGTAACTACTTGGAGGGTCGGGCGACTTAGTCAGTAGTGATTTCAGAGACTTATAAGCACCATAACCCCAAATAGGGTCCCTTGTAAGGCACTTATAAGTCTACTTATAACCTACTTACCAGGTCCTCCGATCCTCCAAGTAAAGGGGCCCCTGCCCAAAATATGGGTTTATACCCTCAGCCCTACTGCGGCACTGCCCTGTCGGAGTCAGTTATCCTGAGCATACAAGTTGTGGCAAACATGCTTGCTTGGAGGATCATGGGACTTAGTAGGTAGGGTTATAAGTACCCTAATTGGGGTTATAAGTAGTTATAAGTATAGTTACCCTAATTACAGCCCTAGTCACTAGGTCCCATGACCCTTTAAGGGAGCTCGAGCGATCTTCAGGCTGCAGGCTGATGGGTTGAGGTCACCAGCACACCTACCTTGCATGACCCGGAGCCCTGTCTCATTTAGGGTTTAGGGTTTAGGATTTAGGGTTTAGGGTTTAGGGTTTAGGATTTAGGGTTTAGGGTTTAGGGTTTAAGGTTTAGGGTTTAGGGTTTAGGGTTTAGGGTTTAGGATTTAGGGTTTAGGGTTTAGGGTTTAGGGTTTAGGATTTAGGGTTTAGGGTTTAGGGTTTAGGGTTTAGGATTTTGCAATCCCTGAACACCCTGACGGCGGTTGATGATATAAACCCTGCATTACCCATAACAAGGAACATAGCATAATTCTCATAGTTTAGAGCGCTTGGGGTAATGCAGGATTTTTATCATCAACAGCAGGCATGTTCATGGTCATGCTTGCAGACGCTCGGCAGCATGGTACACCCATCCGCACCCCCCGAGTCGTAAACCTCAGGCCTCAGATAACCCTAAACCCTAAACCTAACCCCCAACCCCTGAATCCTACAACCCCTTCGCCTGCCACCCTTAAGCCCTAAAACCCCAAGCTCGGAAACCCTGATGGTAAATTCCCAACAGCTGCTTTATAGCTATACCATAAGTATACTCCGAAACCCTAGTCTCAGTATTCAGGCCCCTTTTTGAAATGGGAAGCATGACTGACGACTGAGCTGCATCTACAAGCTCGACAAAATCGGGCATCTCCAAGTGCGGTTTAGGGCTTCGGGTTTAGGGTTTCTGGGGTTCTCCGGGTGGAGTCTGTTTCGGATCGTGCGCAGCACGTTAGGGCCTGCGTTAAGGGTTTAGAGATGTTTAGGGTTCGAGGATTTTCGGGTCTAGTTTACAGCGAACTGCAGCTACTCTGGACACGTCGAACGGAAGAGGAAATATGGGCAGAACACATGGGAGCACAGGGGAGTTGAGCGAACTTTCGCAGGGAGCGCCCTCCCATGTCTCGTCTTGTTGTACACAGCAAGAGTGTCATGCGAACTTCTACAGCAAACTGAATCTGCACACCGCACATGTGCGCTACTGGACGGAGTACCGTGGCAAAAGTCTTGAACTGCTGATGGACGAGGCTGTCCAGCATCAAGCTCGGAAAGTGAGTTTCATGAACCCACACTGCTGGCGCCATCTCTG